CCGCCCCCGCCCTCTTTACCGCCTCAGAGCAGGTTTCATTCCCTGAGAGGTAGCAGCCGCCAGTACTCGTTCTTTTTTCCCTCATGGAAAACGCCAGTTCAGATCCTCGGGTTTCTAAACGCTACAAAACCTCTACAGTCAGCACAGGGGGTTGCAATTTTTTCTGTAAAACATTAGTGAAGAATTCGACAATGAGCAAAACCAACTGCTTGAGAACATAACACCACAATATCCACAATATCTTACAGTATCTGCAAAAGACAGCCCAAAAATACAATTTAAAATTATGCTTCTTACCACACACTGGCAAGCAGTGGACTAAGTGCTGGCTCATCACCATCAGCCTTGCCAAGCAAAGAGGCGCAGGTACCCATGCTCATTAGCTTTTCTGCAACATTCAACAGCGAAGTCAAATTCCGCCGTTTAAACACAACCAATAGAGAACATGTACAAAAATCTGCAATTTAGCCAAAATCTGAGAACGTGTACCTGTCCCCAGCCATGTTTACAGATGACATGGAGAGTTTACTTTCACATGTAGGGCTGAACCCCGCTTCTGCTAGAGTTGGTTGGTGGCTATCTGATCTGTAACACATCACCTTAACAGCTAGTTACGTACTCCTGTTATACCTACACACAGCTGAGAAACAGAAAAGGTCATGAAGATGTTCAACAAAAAACAAGCCTTTTTTTTTATCATTATAACATTTGCTTTGCATTTAGTAGCAACCAGCACCAAAACACCAAGTCTTGCCATCCCTATTCTTTCTGACCGTTAAGGGGAAGGCCAGAAACTAAGTTAAAAGTCATGGTTCCATGAACTTGATGGAAATTTCACCCCTCATTTATCAGGACCAACATTTTGTTTCTGAACTACCATCTCCCTTCACAATTTCTTTAAAGGCTTTGATATATTACCTCTTTTACAATGAAAGTCGTCTTCCTACATGCACGTCGCGAAGTTGATTTATCCTTGCCAGTTATAAACAACCATAGGTAGATTTATTTCCAATATTAATTTTAGTGTCCTGTAATCCCCCTAGTCATTTGCTAAAGAAAGTTCAACTCTGATAGTCCCAAAGTTAATCCACGCTCCCAATGAAAAATTTAAATATTATTTCAGAGGCAGCTGAGAGCAGTCTACCCCCTGGCAGCAGCCCACGGAAGTCCAGTGCTGTGAGCCATAAAAAGCAGGCTTTTCTGCCATGACCTCCAGGTGACACCCATCACAGTAATGATGCACTTTTGTACCAGCATGCTCATCGTTTGAGTGTCTCCCCTCGAGCAAATGCAAGGAGCACACTCTAAAGGAAAAGATCCTTTTAGTCCATTCAGTCTGGTTCCTCCCATGATCATACACCAAGCAAAGAGTCGGCCGCATGCGCTGACCTAAAAGCAAGTATAGAACTTCCTCTTCAAGGTGCTGCTTTTTCCCCCCTCTCACCGGGCTGAGTTCTCTGGCTGAGGCTGATACGGAGCAGACTGAGAACAACACGAGCGGGGGGAAAAAAAGAGCACAGCAACAGAGGATATCCAGATATCCTGCTGAGATATCCAAAGAATGCTGAGAGGCATTAGGGAACAGCTGGAGGAAACTCCTCAGCCAGCCCCCCGGCGAATCTTCCAGGAGAGACAGAGGATCACTGGTCTGCCTTTGTACTTCCAGGGTTACCTGTCTGTCCGGCACTCAAGATGCCAGGTAAGGCGCGCAGCCCCGGGAACTAGATGCATTGAAATATTTCTTCAAAAATGTATTGCTGGGAGCTACAGGTCTGGGGGGGAAATGTTTCTCAGCACTGGCTGACGCAAATGGTTGCACTGAAATAATGGTATCTAATTATTACTGTTCATATTACTGGGGGGTGTGTGTAAAATAAATTATGTAAGGTAACCATCAATATCTCCAGGATCCTATTATAATTTACTATTACCTACGGAAATGTGGATTGAGTTTGACTGATTTCATAGCTACCACCATGATGAAAAGCTAATGCAGTATTTTTAATACCAAGAGAAAAGTTTGACATGATTATATTCCTGTGACGGATCCTCTATTTACTGGAGAACAGTATCCATCCTGAAGTCTTCAGTGACACGCCACCTGAAGTATGTGTGAGATTGTCTACATCTTTTTTCTTCTTGTTAGTAAAGGCTGATGATTTAACATATGCGGACTAACTGGGAAAATAAGAGTGATTTTTTTGACCCAAGATAACTATTTAAGATGCAAATCTGTAAACGTCTACATGCTTGTGTATGTTACAATGGCATGTATGTTCAGAGCATAGCTCCTAACCAACCAATTGCCCTTTTTTGGCACTTGATAATGACAAGCCCTGTACTTAGGGTTACAAAATCATTTTTACCCTACCTACACTCACATCTCTGTAGATGCAGAAGCACAGAGTAGAGAAAATGAGAGTCACGCAGTGCTAAAGGTAGATATAATCAAAAAACCAAAACAGCATGGTGGTTCACAAACACAGGAACACCCAGGTACCACAGAAAACAGGAACTCCAAGAAACAAAAAGCAGACTAATAAACTTACAATTAATTCTTCTGCAGCACTAGAAATTATTCAACACATTGCTTTGTTGTATCTAGCAGGAGAACACCTGCAAGTTTAATAAAGCTCCCTGTTACATTCCTTTATTTATATCCTTTTATGTAAAACCTTTTTTCCCCCCTGAACAATCCCTCCCTCTGAAATTCATAAACTACCATACTGGAATAACAAAAACAGGACAGAGCAATAATATGCAACCGATCTGACGAGACTGATGTGGGGCTGATGAGGTGTATTATCACTTTTGAGAGACCAGATGCCCAAGAGAAAAACATATTCATGGCTGTGAAACAGTAACAAGTGCTCCTGGGCAACTACTGTACTACATTTCCATAGCACAGAAAGCCCAGTTCATACGGTGAACTCAAAAATTTCCCATGACATCCAGCCCCATACCACAGCAAGCATTCATAGCCTTCATTAACTTGCCAGGGACAGATGGTTTAACGGGGACATTTACCTTAACGCAACACTGCAGTGCTCAGCATTTGGGGTCCAGAGGCTGAATGCTATAGAAATTTTACACTAATAATTTGACAGAAACCACCAGAAAGACTAGTTAGGAGCTATCAGGGTAAAGAGCAAGGATCACCTGCAGGATACTCTAGGGAATGTTGCTCACCCTAATTTGTATAACCTATCTGTCTTCACAAGTTATTTCTTTTCTCAATTTTTGTGACTGTTTTAAACCCCTGCCACAAAAGGAAAAAACAAAACCAAAAAAAACCCAAAACCCAACAAAAACCAAACCCCAAACAACAAACACAGAACAGGTAAGTAAACTGAAAACTAGAACAGAGTTTCCGTTTTACAGAAGTTGCCTTCCCAATTCAGTGTCCCGTAACAGCTATAGTTCTCAGGGTATCAGGGGCACATGAAAAGAGAAAAACCTTTCCCATCACTCTGGCATGACTGCATTAGGAAACCGTTGGAAGAGTCAGACAATTGTGTTTACCTTGGCATGGTGTTGATTTACAAACACTAATACACATAATTTAAAGACAAAGCATGTAAAATGCCACTTCAAATGCGAGCAATCCAGTTAATAGGTCAGACTACCATCAAGCTTCATGATCTCCCTATAGCAAGTAAACTGGCAGGATCAAAATTCAATGCAAATAGGCACTTCAAGAGAATGGTGTTCAAAAGAGTGGAGTCTTTACAATGTTCATCTCGCACTATTTTCCATTTGTATACCTTTTAGGGAGAGCAAGATTTTAAAGTGGCATTTAAATTATGTTTTCCTTCCATTACATATCCCCTTTAAATTGTTTGACAAATTGTTGACAAATGCTTAAAACATTTAAAGTAGTTAAAAGTAAAGTTTCTAGTTCCATGCCGGATTAGGATACTAGAAAACAAAGCCTAGAGCCTATATATCTTTTTGCCTGTAAAGAATTATTTACTAAACTGTTTTTCCATAAACTGCCTGCAAAATGCATACTTGCTCTTTAACGATCTTTAAAACACTGAAAATTAACATATGACGACACAGTTTTTTTCTTAGCAGTTTTTTCACTTTCAGCATTTTGGGAAACTAAAAAGATCATCTTCACAAACTGACACTTCCTCCTTTCCAACAGGAATTTAGAGTGTATTGGACAGAACTCAGAGGAACTATGCTCTTCTTTTATGACGATAAGAAAGCCCCAACAGTGAGTAATGTGCTATCTTTGTAACTACCCATCTGATTAAGTGCATCAGTTACTTTCATCAAGTAATCCTTATGTACTCCAGACATCTCTCAGCACCCTTTCCTCTCTCATCTGCATAGTCCAAAAAAATAGTACTGAACATTGTAACAGAAAGGCTGAGATCAAAAAAAGCCAGAGTGAAACAAACTATAGCATGTTAATTTGCCTCATCAAAACAAAAAAGGAGTATGTTTATTGGCACCTGAGCTACAAACGTATCCACATTGCTCCATAATTTTACCATGTGCTTTTTCCTCAGCTGTGCACAAGGGTAGCATGACTTTCCTTTGGAATGTGGTGTGTAACATGACTTTCCTTCATGAGGAAAAAGTGCTTGGTATTATTATGGTGTATTCTGGCTGAGGCTTTAGTTAGAGTCACAAAGCAAATACTCGGGGAGGTCTCGTGGATTTAATTGTTTGTGATGAAGATTAGGATGGGAAAAATCCAGAAGGTACGCTGTTGGTGAGAAGAGCTTCTGTAAGCAGAAGCAAAGGACTGAGCTTTGGCACATCTGTCAGTTAAACTTAACCCAAGTTCTAACAAAAAAAAAGTTTCAATCTATTTTCTTCTAAACAAATTCCTTTGGAGAGCAGCTACATTTTTGGTGAAAATTACAACTTGTGCTATTTCTCTTTTCCCTCTTCCTTAGTACTCACAGAAATTAGATATATCAGCTTTGACCTCAGCAACCAATGTTTATCCAGATGAAAATGGCTCTGCACAGTTCATCCTGATGCTGTCAAATGGGGAGCTAGAACTGAAGGTAAGGAGAGGAAGGCTGTGATTTGTAAGCCACTCGGTACTTTACTCCATCTCCCACAGATACTCAGAGCTCCATTTTGGTGTGGGAGTAGAGCTGCCTTCTTGACATCTAAGCGAACAGCCTGCAGCCAGGCAGCACCAACGGCATTCAGAGAGGGAGGCAGGGCAAAGGAACCTGGAAAACTCCCCTTCGAGGCATTAGAAGTTTTTCTCAGGAGTATCTGGGAATAGGAAATGAGCAAAGAACCGAACAAGAAAATATACAAGAAAAACCAGGAAGTACCTGACAGGCCCACATCACCTGTGAAACCAAGAAGGGGATAAAATATCTGACCACCCCACCATTCAGACTGTAGTGTTCAGAGGCTACCTAGAAGGTTTTATACTTAAGACTCACCTATCTCCTTAGCTTGGCCTTCTCCTTGGATTCACATAACCTTCTCCTTCTACTCCAACAGAGCATATGATTTTTTTTTACCTTCCCACCTCTGTCCTTGCCCTCTAATTGAACATGGAGTACTGGGGAAGTGCAGGGTTTCAGGGTGTGATGTAGCTTGGCAGGGAGCTCATTTCCAGGCATGGTACTTCTAAAAGGGCAAGAGTAATTTGAGGCTTCCACATGAAATGTTTTACTTTTTTTTTTGTTGCTGTAGTTGTTCTAACACGGTCATTTTCTGTTCTCTCAGGCTAATGACTGTGAATGTGGGAAAGAATGGAAGGGTTTTATTCTCACCGTAACAAAGGTATGGAAGAGTTTTATATCTCACTTCATGTCAAAAGTGTCTATAGGGGTGTTTTGTCTTCATGCATGCCAGAAGTTGGCTTCCACAGGCACAAAGCCTCTCTTCTAAAGTGTTTGCACACACTGAACTGTTGAGGGTTTTGTTGGGTTTGGTTTTTTGGGTTTTTTTGTTGTTGTTTTGGTTTGGGTTTTTGGGGGGGGGGGGGGGTTGTTTTTTTTTGGTTTGGTTGGTTGGTTTTTTTTTCCTGAGGAGAGCAAAATTCAGGCCGATTTAACCCCAGCTCATCTGCAGTACACACTCTGCTGTGGTATCTAGTCAGACACAGTTCCCAGTCCACTGTTTGCTGTCCAGGAAAGAAAAGACTTCCAGCACAAGTCCATCCGCTGCAGCCGTGAAAAAGAGAGCCTCCTCCGAGAAAGGCAACTCTCTAGGTCTTTACCATGGGATAAAGACATAACCAAAGAAATGGCCAAACTGCACACCTGAGAGAATCCCTCAACCCTGTGTTTTGTTCTACTATTCTTCTTAGCTAAATGCACTTTGAAAATAGCAACACCCTCTTTGATAATGACCAGTGGAAAAATAAATGACATTTGTTCATAAATGACTTTACATTGGCCTAGCTGAATCACTTAAAAAGCTGAGGATGGCTGAAACAGGTTAAATTACATTTACACAGCCTTTTGCAGTAGAGCAACTGCAAGATACCCTTGTGGATTCTTACCATCATTCCCACTTCTGTCAATGCACATTCCTTCTAAATCAGGACACAGGTATCCTTATTTCACTATTCTAACAAAAACACGTGCAGCATTTTATTCAAAGTAGAGGCACATCCAAACCTTCCAGATTATCACAGCTGCTTAAACCAAGCAGGTAAGAAAGATTTCTGCACAGCAGCTGCGCTCAGAGATTAGCTGTGATGTGCACACAGAAAGGATTGCTCACAATGTTTGTCCACTCTTTGATTTTCTTTTCAATTACACCATTCATTTTCAGCTGTCAGTTCCACCAGATGAGTCATTACTACCTGGGCAACTTACAAGAATGCATGAAGTGCTAGAGAAGGAAAAGAAAAGAAGGATTACATTTAACGACTGTTCCAGTGCATCCTTGAGCAGAAAAAGTCCTCCCAGCAGTACATTGACCACTATGCCAGAGTAAGCTCTGACTGAACTATGCGAACCCTAACCTGACTAAAGAGCCTCCCCTTCTTCTTTCCAAGTATTATTTCCATGCAGAGGTTCAAAATTCAGCTGTTGTACAAGGTTTGTATAATATTCAATGAACAAAATCTACCTTAAGGCCTTTTTAGAGATTTCCTAAGGGAGAGATTACTCCTGCAGCTTTCCTACAATGCCTTTTGTTTTGAAAAGGCTGAATGCAGTGTATTGCTATGCTTGAAAAACTTTTCAGAAAGCCACATGTTGGGCTGCTGTATCTGCCCTTCTGAGAAAATGCTGATTACCATTGAGAAATTCATGGTAAGTCCAGGTTACCGTTCTCACATTCTTTCCAAGGGTCCAGAAAGCGTCATACCTCTATGAAAGCTTCAGTTTCTCTCTGAGAATGCCAAAGCACTGCTGTCCTGAATTATGCTCCTATAGTAGCATTAACTAGCAAGAGTCCTTCAGATGTCATGCCTCTTGGCAGCCATGGCTAGTCACCCTGGATAAGCCTAGCACTGTGAAGAGGCGTTAGCCTGGCAGACCACATCTCTTCACGCAGCTCAGAATGACGTGGCCTTGCCAGCATAACTTGCATTTATGCCGTTTTTCTCCTCCCTTCTATGCAGGTGCTTCTATGCAGTATCTCGGCAAGAAGCAATAGAGATGTTAGAAAAGAACGCTTTATGTGGGAATTTAATCCTGCGTCCTGGCAGCGACAGCAAGAACTACGCAGTCACTATCCGACACGAGCTGGAGTAGGTTGATTCCACAACATATTATCCCATTCTTATCTAGTATGCACTGTATTAAAAGCTGAATTCTTAATACCCGGAGTTGACATGTGAAACATATGCCTTGCCTTAAGGCTATTTTGAGAAAGGCAAATGAGGCAGCAGGGGCGGGCCTGAGACTGATTTCTTGGCACTCTCCTTCTCCAAAGCTGGTCAGATTAAACAAAGAAGCAATAAAGATCAGCCAGCAAAAGCCCATTTTCTTGGTAAATGGGCTTCCCCTGTTTGCCATGAAACCCCACTCGGTTTAAGAAATCATCATGCAGAATGAAAATGGAAAAAGTCGTACCCCTTTGTAAAATGAACAATGAAAAACGAGAGAGACAAGTATTTTCAAACAGTAACTTAGTCTAAAAACACACATTTCAACTGAACTGCATGTTTTATCTTCTGCAGAGCTTCAGAACAAGGCATCTGAGAGACCAGGAATGACATTTGCAATTCTTGGTGTTTCTAAACTAATATGGGAAAAAACAAACCTGCCACACATCTTCAATAAGCCCTAGGAATATTACAAAGCACATCCATTGCTCCTGCAAAGGAGTTTATAATGACAACGATATATCAAAAAGTATTTCATTTCAGGCAGCATATCAACTTTCATTTTCTTTCAGTGCCCCACACTTAAAGCACTACAAAGTGATGTCCAAAGGAACAAGTTACATTATCGAATTGGAAAGACGGGTAAGTGAGCAATTCCCTTGTTGAAGATTCTTAAGTAGGTGTAAGAAATATCACTTTGCAGAAAATTAGAAAAGCTCTAGTAAATTCCTAATTATAATTTCTGAGTCAAAGTAAAGTATGTGGACAGTTCACCTCTCTTCTTAGTCCAACTAACCTAATCTCAAAGAACAAGTTATCTTTTAAGAACTAGAAAAGTAGGAAGAAAAAAAAAAACAAATCAGCATCTTCTCCCTAACAAAAATAAAATCAAACCACTCGCAAAACACCCAAGATTGCTTAATTTTTTTTTTTTTTTTCAACTCAAGCTTCAGTACTAACTCTGAAAACTGAGCTCTGATTGCAGCTAGAGGAAGTTCAAAATGCACTCCATGTAATAAAATTAACTCTGTTGAAGTGTGAGTAAGGCTGAATGGACCCTGTCATTTGGTTTAAAACAGTTTTCTTCCACTTTTCTTGAGACATGTTTAACTCATGGCCTGAGAAACATCCTATTGGTTTCAAAAAGCATCTGCTGGAAGAGCATCAGCAGTCATTGAAGAGCACAACGGTACAGAGCAATCTCTCTTTTGGTTTGTTTACTTATTTGATGGAAGGGAAGGAGTTACATGTTCGAGGGTCAAAACGTTACCATAGATTGCAGAGGGCTGTCCTAGACCTCACTGCATCCAAATGCTGGATATAAATCCAGTATCAGTAGTTTGAGAAACATTGCTAGGGATCCCAGCCTGCCAGCATGTTTTTGAAAATACATTCTCAACACACATAGCATGTTTTATTTGGTGGGGGTTTTTTGTTTTGGTTTGGTTTTTTTTGTTTTGGTGAAACAGGTGACACTCCCAAGCCTTCAGGATGTTGTCAATTACTTTGTGACCCAAACCCGAGGGAACCTGAAGCCATTTGTCATACAGACGCGCACTGCAGAGGACCCAGTGTTCTGAAAGCAAGCTGGTTGCTGAAGGCACACACAGGAATGGTCCTGCTAAACGAAAGAGGCATGAGAAGCAGCACAGGAACTCCGCACTATTGAAGACAAACAGAAGGCATTCCACAAGCTACTGTCTCTCGCAATTTCTAGAATAGCTCTGTTGGCCCTAAACCAAGAATGTGATGCAACTTCTCCCAGAGAAACTTCTCAGATTTGGGGAGGGCAAATAACCCCAACTCCTGTAGAAGATTAAATGTGGAAAAAGAAGAAAAGACAAGAGTGGGAAAGAGAGGACACATTGCCTCTGCAAAATGCAATGGAAAAATATTGCATTGAAATTAGGCAGACAGCGTTTGTGGGCTCAATTCTGTCACTGGCTCACAGTGCAATAAACTCTTCATGTTAAAAACCCTGTTTCTTGTCTACTCACTTGTAACAGGATCAGTGCCATTTATGACATCCCACAGAGACGGCAGGGATGCCTCACCTCTGTTGGGGCTTGGAGCAGTGCCAGAGAGGTGCAATACAGACCAAAATGCAGGAAATACAAGTCTGGGTAGCTTAAACTGGGGGTTCCTGGTTCTCTGCAAGCTCATGCAACCCCTACAGGACTTGGAACATCCCGAGGAAGGTGGGTGAGGCATTTCCCATGTTACGCAACTGAGGGAGGGCATAAATGCAAGCAAACTGAGACATCTCCTGCCCAGCTGAACATTCCCACCCCTTCTACATGCCAGCAGGGGTGTTCATCAGACCCTGCCCCGAGCTACTTCAGGAAACTAAACAAAAGTAAGTTAGTTAGTGTCCCTGTTGGTTAAGTCCCCTGAACTACGTTCTCCATGGGCTGAGACAAGCCCCAGTGAGTGCACAAGGAGGACAAGACTGCACAGCTGGTAACGAGGGAAGGCAGCAGGGCATGTGAGAGCCCTGCTGATCATACCAAAGTTGTGGAACCCCACCGAGCCTTAGGCACAGCATCCATCTTCTTGGAAACTGGGGATCCAGCCTTCAAAATAAGCAACTTAAGTGATCAGCAGTAAGATCCAAGTTTAGTATTTTTAGCCTCTAAGTTCTGCCAGGCAGCTAGACTGAATAAAGTGCTTACCACTACTGAGCTATACTCCTTCATAGTTACTGGAGATGACTAGCTCCAGAGCCTGGCTTTTTTCTTTAAAAAAACCCCAACCAAATAAACTGCACCTTTTCTCTGACAGCGGTGGGGGAGCATTCACACAGCTCAGCTGAAGACAGCTATGATCTAGGTACCGAAGCAGCTAGCGCCTTCACTACACGCAGAGGGAGTGCTCTAGTTGCTCTTATTTCCAGACTAGGATTGATGGTCATGTTCCTTTGATATCAATTGGGAATCACAAATTAATTACTTGTTTCAAGGATTATGGAAGTCAGTCAAGGCTTGGGAAGGTTATTTTAAAAAGAATGTGTTTCTAAATAATAGTGTGACCATATGAAGGCAAACCCACTGCATTTATAAAAGCACAACATAACATGAGACGTTAGCACTTTCTTTTCATGAAAATACTAAAAATCACTTTGTGAAGATGGTGCTGCTCAGTATGCATCAGGTTAGAGTTGCAGCTTTTCCTCAGTACGAAATTGAAACTTGTGTGTTGCTGTGAGGAGTGGGAACTTAATACTTCTTCACTGTATCTCACTTTTGCCATGCAAAATGATTCACTTACTAGCAAGACAGTTCTGCTGGTGTTACCAATGCTGTAACTCATGACACCTTTAAGCTTGAGCCTCAGTATGGTTTCTGCAGCACGGATAAACACCCACGCTAGCTACTTCATCGATGACACAAAAGATACCACATGACACGCTTACTAAAACAAGCTTTCAAAAGCTATCTGGTCAAAACTTACCAACCTTTGGACAAAGGTTTAGATTGCTGCACTGTGCTGTAGCAGAGTATGCTTTCTGTAATTGCAAAACAGGAGATAATTAACAGGGATGGATAAACCTACAAGCTAATAAGCCAGTTGCATTTGGCTGAAATTCAGTTCCCTTCTTCAAACAACTAGCCTACAGCCACATTGTTTCAAAGACACAAGGAAAAATTAAGAACATAAGTAAAGGCTTTAGATAAGTTCATGTTTGATACAAGTTGACAGATATACAAACTCTCTGCCTAGCTCAAACCCGCATTATTTCAGGATGTGAGATGCCATAATGAGGTGACAGGGTTTCTGCATTCACAGAGGCCCAGCTGGTGCCAGAGTTGTTCTTTCTATGTAATCATTATTCTTGAATAGCACTTTTTTTTTTTTAAATAGAGATTCACGTATTCACCATATGGTGGAAAAAAGCTGAAAATGTGTACTTTTTACTCCTTGTATAGGTAAATGAAGGCCTAAATCCATCAGACCCACCAAAACAGTCTTGTTAACAGTAGCATGATCTTCACACAGAATCCTCACTACTCCTAGCATTAAAGAAACATGGAGATTAACCACACAGAACAGTTGAGCTGGGTGCTAAATGCCTTGTGTTTTGCATGCACAAACATTCCTGCACCTATTAAGAATGCGAGAAATTAAAGGAAAATTAGTGTAAATATGAGCAAACTCTGTAAGAAAGCATTTGAATGAGAAAGATCTTTAATACTGATATAAAACTTCATCTCTGCAAGTCAACTGCTCTTTCAAAGAAAAACATTTTGAAGGAAAGCTATTCAAAGTGTTCTAGTGGAAAGATAGTTCTTCACTGCTGCAGGGAGATTGCTAGCTCTAGCTACTCCATCGGAATAGAGCATCAAACAGTCCTAGACACACACAAGCTTTCATTACAATGAAAAAAAAAAAAAGAAAAAAAAACCACAGTTCTTAGATTCCAGGTAGTGCTACGAGCCTCTGCACTGCTAGCACTGGTAGTGACAATGCTGGAGTTCTGGAAGACCAGCACCCCAAAATTCACTTGCCTGGTTTGATTGAGCCCTTTTAGTGTGATCATGCTGAGCACCTGCAGAGACTTTTGATAAAAAGCAGCAACAGATTGAGAAATGGGCTGTATCAAACACAAATTCACACTGAATTGGCTCACTCCACTCTGCACAACCTTCAACATAAATACATTTACTCTCCGTATCAGCAATTCAGAAAGTTAAAACATGAAAAACAATTTTAATGAGCCACTTGACATGCACAGTTCTTCCATATAAAGTCCTCTTTAGGTTATTACTTGTAAGATTTTACTTAGGTTAACTTATATCCAGAAAATTTTAAAGGTCTGCTAATAAATATCTAGAGCTATTGTGCATTTTCAGTTTTTCCATCAGCAATAGTTTAACTCAGCAGAACCCACCCATAGAACAGACATCCATCCAACAGATACACACAGTAAGAGCAGCATAGAGATACAGCCATGTCTGTAAATTCTGGCCCCGATCCCTGCCAACCTCGACCTGGACTTTTTGGCAAGGGTTTCAGAAAGCTGTATGCATTGTCATTAATAAAAGCCATACCATTAATTGTATCTGAAAATTTACTTTAAACCCTGAGGACCGTCAGATGGCATTCTAGCAAAGTACTCAGACTTTACTATTTTTATATGCTACTTACTTCGAAAGCATAAGCGTGATGTTAACACCACACTAGCGTACCAGAGTGTACTTACTAAAAGTTTCATTTGTTTCCCAGTCTCCAACTGTGAGAGGGGACAGTGCTTTTGACTTGACCTAATCCTTTAAGTGATCCTTAGCACTAATTAGTTGATTTCAGCTAAGAGTTCAGATTCTCATACTGCCACAGTGAAATATATTTTCATTGTTAATTAGAACTGGAAATTTAATGTCTGCTTGTGCCTTCTCTGCACTCTAAATGTAGTCATCTTTTCTCCTGTTTCAAAAAGTTTCTCTAAAAGAAATTCTTAAAAAAAAAAAGAAATAAGTTAGGTAGTTTAAAAAGCAGTATTATTAATCTAGAAAATTATATCTATAAACGAGACTGACTGTAAAACTATATACACCTTCCAGAAGATATCCTGCACGTAAGACTAAATCCCAAATATTGGAATAATTGTGTTGATTCCTATTCCTATTGTTGAAGCTATTCACTTCCATACATCTTGGTGTTCAAGTTGCCAGCCTGAGAGCTGTTATTCCTGACTACAACTAACCGAGAAGGGAAAAAAGGAGAGGTAAAATTCCTGGCCAATAATGTTCATTAAATCCGAAGATATCCCTAAAGCTTAATAAATTATCATCAAGGCTAAATGGCTAAGTAGCCAACAGCTTTTGCAACAGCTGCAGGAGATAATGTGCAATCACAATCTCTAAAGCTTAAACACATTAAAAGGTTTTCCAGTTCATAGGTTTTCATTCTAACCTCACTTCACTCTACCATCATTGGGAGAAAAGAACTACCAGCTCAACTATCCAGTGTTTAAATGATAGAGAAAGTAAGGTGGTGTCACAGATGTTTCTGTAACACATCTCTGCCTCACCACAGCAGCAAAGCTGGTCCCTAATTATTTCCGATTAAGCAGATTCTTTCTACTTAAATATCCTAGTAACTGACTGATGATAAAAACCTCAGTGTTCAGTGCAACTCAGACTTGTGCTGTGGCCAGGTGTACAGCATAACCATTCGCTATAAGGAAATGGTACCAAAAGGAGCAGCTGAGGAAACAGTGTTTGCTATGACAAACATCTAGAGCCATTTGCCTTTTCCTCCTTTCAAAGTCATCATTTGCTACAGTGTTTTTAATTTGGTGAGGGCAGAAAGGCTCAACCACACCAAATATTTTTCTCTTTCTTGAAGACAAAGTTTTACTGTTTAAAGTATTAACTCAGCTCTCCGATAGGTTTCCACTTTCCCCATATTGCAGTATTCCCCAAAGAACAGTCTTAGTGCAGATAATCAACCATTCCAGCTCTCTACTCCAGGGGAGCTGTGACAATTTACACCTACCCAAGACGTGCTTCCCTATGTTCCCATGTTGAGACTGACATAAGATAGCTGCTCTGACACATAGCATCACTTAACTGTTCAGAAGAGAGCACCGACAACACAATAAAGCAGTTCATCTGCTTTTAAGTGGGAGTTTAAACCTTTTGGATGGATTAAATCTCACGTGTAGATGGCAAGAATGAAATTCTTGTTTGAGAATTAAGTAATATATGAAATCGATTTGAGTTGTTCTTAGAATACCAGGAGTATCGTAAAATGGCAGTTTCCCCAGTTTTTGCACTCTTCTCTAAGTAACACCTAATTTGCTCATGGGGACCATTTGTTAGGTTCACCATTCTTCTTGCTTTCTTCAGCTCCCCACAAGTTAATACAAATCTTGTCTTTAAGGTAAGGACTGTACTGGACATTCCATCTCATGGAGTGACCAATCCTCCTTTGAGCAAACAGGTTTGAAGAAAATGGGAGCAGATGAAACATAAATCCAGTTTGTCTTCAGTGCAAAGCCACTGATTTTCACCATTTGCTTTAATTAAGGCTTCACCAAAAAGAAATATATAGTACCATCTTTAATAGCTGAAAATTAGCACACTCCTTTCAGAACAAATGGTCCAGGAGTGACTTTTGTGTCTCTGCCATCAATTGTCTTCCTGAACAAAGTAGTATCTCACTGGCGGCCCTGGCAAGTCTTCCTCTCCATCAGTCTCTGGAGCAAACGATACTGTCAAATCCACATACTTCTTATCAGCTGATGGTTTCACAAGTTTTTGCATCCTACAGGGAAACGAAGAACAGGTTGTTAACGTACGAGAAGGAGGATTGGCAGTGGGAATTCAGGGCCAGACTAAGATGAATTTCACTGCCAGCAATGAAGCCAAACATACTAGAAACCAGATTAAAATGGAGAATAAGCCGCTTTTTAATTTTGACACAAAAGCTGTTCCTCTTGCTATACCTGAGGTATAGCAAATGGTATTCCATTTTCTTGATAGACTTAGCCCGTTAGTGAGCTATTACGTTGTTCACTAACAAGTGCTCAGCACAAAAGAGAAAAGAAAATGGCCAGTTTTGGAAGGGATTCCTCACCAACATGATTTCTCTTTGGCGTCCTAATGAGGCACAAGGCAAAGTTAGCTTTCTGTGCAGGATTCTGGACAATGAAGAGGAGTAAGTTCTCGGTCTACCAATAATGGCTGGTTTTAATACGTTATTAGGGAGAAGCACTCCAGTGCAGACACTAGATACAGAGTTCTGATGGAAAGTAATTCTACTGGAGTTAAGACTTGTTATGTCCTTGAATTTCGAAGGCGAATGGCAATGGGCGGGGGCGAAACAGCCAGGATCTGGGACTTCTTCCTTTATGACCACAATGTGAGTTTAAACTAGGTAAGCGTGTCACGTCTCAGCGCAACTTCCCCCCTTTTGCTCTCCACAATCTCAAAAGCTACAGCTATTGCTTGGAAGTTGCCCAATAAAATACTGAAGTAGAAGGTCAATCAACCTCACTTTCATTACATATCTTTGGATGTCTCAAAATTATTTTCTTGCCAACTCTGAGCACCAGTTCATGAGGCAAGCTCAAACGCTAGGAGGCTGGGGGAATACAGTCACTCATTTCTATTCCTCACATGTCCCTTAGGGAAGGATTTCCCTTCTGGCTATGCTTTAGCACGCAGGTCAAAAAGCTGCTTTCCCCAAAGTACTTGGTCCCTTGCAAGAACACAAAACATTAGCCTCTGCTCAGCAGAGGTACTGAGGTCATATCAATTTGCATGAGGAAGCCCCAAGCTACAGAGCAAGGCAGATAACTATGTTTCTAAAACTTGCTTTTAAGGAGTATGCTACCAGTCAATGCTGTAATTCTGAAATGAAGACAGAGTCTTGCAATGCTTGTCATATTACAGCGAGAGAAAGATTTTAAACACCTTAAGAAAAAAACAAACACACAAGCAAGACCAGAGTTTGCTGGGCAAATATCTTATAAAGCTTTTGGGACTGTTTGTAACAGAACAGTTGCTGTAACTACATGGAAAGCTTGAACAGATTCTCAGGGTAATAAGAAATCCTGATATTCACAAGGAGGCAGCTGCACACAATGCCTTTGACTTCATTACACACCCCACTCATTCCAAATGATTTCTACAGCTGTAGGGGAAAGAACATAAACAACTTACTTTGAGATAGGTTGTAAATTCATATCTTAGTGTGCCAGGCACTCTAAAGGCAGTACCAACATAGAGGCTCTTCTCTCCCTGGAAGTTTGAAGTAGCTTGCACATAACATATACTACTACTTTGCCTGACGTTACCTACTGGCAGACCTTCGAAACAGTACTGATCAATGCATCTACTTGCTCTAGCAAAGCCTGTGAGCACTGACCAGCATACACTTCACAGGAGCTGTGAGGAACAAATTTTGAACTAAAGAAGTTCAATCAACATTTAAGGTAGAACTAAATCTGGGTGAGATCTGGCTGTTACTTTGCAAAGGCCTGTCAGTCAAAAACCAATGTCCTGCCTTCACACCCTCCCAAACTTCCAGTTTGTTATACCCCAATTTCCTGTCCGTGAGCGGCACTGCAAAGACTTGTAAATGTCTTCATTTTTAAAAGGGCTAAAGTGAGCTAGAATCTCAAGGAATTACTATGAACTGAACAGACTTCCAGAAATCTCAATCTGCAACCAACACATTAACTCCTTCCTCAATAAGTTTTCTCATTCTTTCAGAGCTAAGTTGCTAAATACCACCATTCATTTTAAGCCAGTTTAAAAAGGTTGGATTAGTCTTGTTCTGCTTGAATCAAGGTACATTCTTTCCCAAAAAAAAACTTACTGTCAGACTTCTTTGGGTTTCTCATTCTGGCATTCATCAGAGTAGCATTTTGCAAGTCTCCTGCCCTCACCACAGAAGTTAATTTACTTTCCCTTTTTTTTCCCCCCCCCTCAAAAGGAAGAAATTACCTTTTTTCTTTCCCAAATATTAACAACTAGCAACCACTTCGAAAGAAAATATTGCTGTCAAACATACGCCCTTATGATACAACAGCGAACGTAATTTGTACGTGCACTTGCATCCCTCGATCCATTTTCCAGTTATACTTACGTCAGCTTTAATCTTTTAATGTGACCTGGCATCACAGGAACATACAGCATTTTGACTCCCTGTACAACCATAGTTGGTTCAATTCCATATTTCTCCTGGAATTCACAAATTAAAACTTATTAAAGGACTAGGACAGCTGCACAAGCCAGCAGATACTACTACTGCTAATACTACAAAATATATTCAAAAAATATTCAAAACCATAGGATCCCAACCAGAAAACTTACATGGACACTGACAGAAGTTTTATTAAGATACATTTGAGCCAATCAAGTTAACAAGGAATTTGAAAATAGGCTTGGATGCGTTTACTTAGAGACATTCCTGTTGACATTAATTCTTTCTAGAATTACTCTGGTTTGAACAATAACTTGGTAAAAGAAAAAAAAAAACCACCCAAACCAACAACCCAAAACAAGAAACCCCTTTCCTCTCATCTTGTATTAACCTGGTACAACAGACGATAACTTACTCTGACAGCATTTATAAAGTCCAACAGCGTAAAATCCTCTTTCCCATAAATTGTCCACCTGTCCCAGATTGTAAATGATATCCCATTTCTGTTTTAAAAAGAGAAATGTTGGTTGTTACTTTAGAATGTGAACTCAGGCACTTCCTTTAAACGTGTATTGAAGAACTGCTAACTCTTCCAGCAACTTGCTGTTTTGTCTTGAGCAAAAATCTCTTCCCTCTCTGCTGCCATTTCTCCAGCCCTTTGACCTGGCTAAGCACAAGACACAGTAAGAACTCTGAGTAAACATGGTATCTTGCAATGAACTTACTGAGTTTTCAGACTTACTGAAAAATAGCTCTTGTACTGACTAAGATGCAGAAGCGTGTCCAGTCTGTGCAGACAGGATGTTTACCAAAAACCATGCCGCACATCTAACTTACCTAGATTTTTAAAGCCTCACTAGCAACAGCTTCCACTGAAAACAAAACTAAGCCCTTAAAACCACTGTTTTTAAAATTAGGACAGAAGAGTATGTGCTGCATTTTCCAAACAGGAAGTTCTTGAGCAATGCATTAGGGGACACCCTTGGTGGTACTAAGAATATCACTTACACCTTTAGCAGTACATAGTAAATGCATAATAGAGTTTGATAGCAAGCACTAAGTGATTCATGATCTTCCAAGTTTAAAGAACAAGAAAAAAATAACCTTCAATATCTGTAACGTTTAATTAGAGCATGACCGTGAACTGTGGTTCCATCATAGTTCTGCTCTGCGACCACATAAGGCATTAACCTGGTTATCTGGATTTAATAACTGTACAAACTTCGCACTTCTTGTAAAGGCTCACCAAGTTCTAAGCATCAATTACCAGGTTTCCAAATACCGCCCTTCTGCCATTGTCCTTCCTACCTGATTTCCGTTCTTCTTACTTCAGCAGTTTCTGTAAAGACCATTATGGGAATGGCTAGGTTCAGAAAACAGTTCTTGTATGCATCAGCTGGGTAGCCACCCACAACTTTGATGAGTTCCAGTGCAACCTGCAGCAAATAAGAATCCCATACTTCCATGAGACCAAACAGAGGCTTTAGGTACTGTGTTATCAACACTAGTTTAGTTGAAAGGCCAGCAACTACAGAGTAAGTTGTTAATGAGATCAGCCTTTGTCCAATCGGCAGAGTAAATCACATCTGGAGATGCAACCCAATATGCCGCAGAAATCAGTTCTGTTGCTGCTAATGGAAATATTTAAAATGTTCAAAAGTGTTCCTAATGTAGGACTCTTCCAAAATTGTTTAATTCAAGACACCTCCATAAAGCATGCAGTTCTGTTGAGGTGCATGGATGTGAACTACTAGAGAACAGATCCTTTCCACTCTTGGCAGTGGGACTCTGAGAGAAATTAATATTAACTGCAGAAAACAAACCAAAATGCTGATCTCTAACTCCTCTTTCTGGGCAGCAGATCAGAAATAAAAGCACCAAGGGCTTACCACATCTAGAACCAAGAGTGACCTTTTGTATTGGTACATGAGAAAAGATGATTATTAAATTTGAAATAAACCCATTTCTTTAACGAGGCTCTGTCAGGGTAGTGTTAAACAATATCCAGACAACAGTGGTTTTAGGCAAGGAACAGTAAGAGAAAGAAATATGCATTTTAAGCATTTTAAAAAGCATACTCACCAGCCCCGATACTGCAGCAGTAGCTGTTGCAATTGCAGGAATAATCTTTCCAGCAATGCGCTTTGTTTTGAACCGATCTGCTGGTTCAATGTTGTACATCTTGGCTCGCAAGTTTGAAGCTGCTGTTATGAAATCTATATGCCCATTACTATCATCATCTTTTTCAAAGCAGATGGGCTTCATTTGCAAGTCATCTGGTCATGAAAAAAAAAAGAGCAAAAATTATTATTAGAAAACTGAAGATGTTCTAAACATAAGTTATAGGGAACTGGAACCTTAAATTTAAAATTTCACATTTTGGAGCTTGGTGCCTTACTTATAACTTGCTTTCTCACGTTAGAAGCAGAAATGCCCCTATCAATACCAGCTGTTAAAAGTGAGTAATGAAAGAAATACCAGCAGAGCTCCATAATTTTATTTTCCTTGCAACACCAGGAATAGATTTTGGACAGTTCTATGGATGTTTCTTATATAGCCCACCTCGCTATTGCTCCATCCTGGGAGAATTCCGTCTGTAAACTTTGTTCGTCTGTAACCATTTCACTACGGACTCAGTAGCATGGGAGACAGAGGTGTGGGTTGACTCTCCATGGGATGGGTTAGAGCTAAGCTAATCTTTTTCCCCTGTGTTCACAAGCTAAAAATGCATGCATGTAGTTGTTGCCCAATGACCTCTTCATGAGGCCAGGCACAAAAATGGGATTCAAGCATCCTCATTTTAACATATCTAGAAGATGCTGAAGATGACTAACAGCCTTCACAATTTAGGGTAATTTCAGGTTGATTCCTGTAAGTAGTAACTCTCATCCTTCTCATACCAGAATCACTTTCAGTCCATCTGGGATCTAGCCAGCACCCTTTCCCTCCTTACAGTTCAATTCCCTGCTGCCTGCTTGCTGTCATCAGGGTTGTACTTACATACAAGTATAACAGAGAACCCTAAAACGTGCAGGAATCTCAGAAATACAGAAGCATAGGGTAACGTCAAGCAATAAGGACAGTTATCTGTATGGCACTTCAGAAAGCTTTAGATATCAGCTATCTGCTTCTTGCAGAATTACAGAACTGCTTTATCCAAAGACCCGAATATCATGCTACTGGCAGTGCAACTGCAAGATGTTACTAAGCTTTGAAGCTAGTTTGCACTACTCACTTTCCAGAGCTTCATTGGACAGTATAGACTTCTCCAGCTGGAAAATAGCATTTCTTTCATCCTCACTGCTGACTGGAATATGATCTGGCTTTCTTGCAGTTTCATCAGTCTGTACAACCTGCAAGTGTGTGCAGTGCTTGAGTAATAAAATCCATGAATTTTGTACAGCACAAGTGTGAAGTGTACTAGATTTTCTGTCTTCCCTGCAGTCTTTCCTCCCCAGTTCAAGAGAGACGTAGACTTACTGGAGCAAGTCCAGCCAAGTGCCACAAAGATCATTAAAGAACTGGAGCATCTCTCATACAAGGAGAAGCTGGGACAGTTCAGCCCGGAGAAGAGAAGGCTCAGTGGGATCTTATCAATGTGTATAAATATCTGACGGGGGGAAAGCGCAGAAGGCATAGCCAGATTCTTTTCACTGGTGCCCAGTGACAGGACAAGGGGGTATGGGCACAAATTGAAGTGCATAAAATTCTGTAAGAAACATATGAAAATATTTTAAAGAAAAAACAAACAAAAAAACCCAAGCAAAACTGTATGGGCCATATCAAGTTGAAGCAGTCCTGTATGCCACACTCTTGTTTCCCCAAAACACATTTTAGTTTGTTTATTTCTCATAGGCATCAATGCAAGAAGTAGTTGGGAGATGTGGGACACTGCTTGTGGACTTTTTTTTTTTCCTTTAAACTAAGTATCACACTTACTTTGTTTGAAGGTCTGAACTCTGGTACCTTCACAGCTGAAATAATCTTCAAAATAGTTTCCTCTGACAAATCCTGTTATGGTTTTTAAGAAAAACAATTTAAATTCACATCAACTCAAAAAGGCCCCCATAAAAAGATTGTATACCCAGTAACATTTTCAAAGAATACCAAAACCAAAAAATCCCACAAACATTCAATGATGTTTCAGTGAAACATCATCATTGAAACACCAAATGATGTTTCAGTTGCCATAGTGAACCAGAGTGGTGTGAAGTGCCTAGCACTTGAAAACTGAACAGAACTGAAGTGTAAACAGGACTTACAGGAAGACCCAATTAGAAAAGAAAAAGGGTAACAAGAAAAACAAAGGTTATCATCACAGACACTGTGAGTAGTAAAAAAAAAAACCTCCCAGACCATAGCTAAGACAATTAAAAAAATGCCTTAAAGAGATCTTCTCCCAATTCAGTTATTATATTGCACATGAAATAGGTCCATCAAAATAAGAATTCCCGAGTTCAGTGCTTACTGAAAATACCCAATACACTGCTCATTTCTTCGCTGGGTTAGGGATTTAAATAAAGACGACTAAATGTAAGCAGTTGCTGAACAGCCAGTGCTGAACGATAGATTACTTTAAGAATCACTTTAATCAGTTTCTGATCAGTTCTTGGAAAGAATTGGGAACTGGGCATCAGGCCAAAACTGAACACATACATCCAAGTTATGTAATGAGAACACTGTTACAGTATGGATTACCTTTTCTGTGAAAGGAACACAGTACACTGTTGCAAAGAGTTTTGCTGCACTCAAAATGAAACCATAGTGCCTGAAGAAAAGAGGAACACAATTATTTTTGTTTGCTTGGTTTTTTACTTCAGTTCCCCAAAGGTTTGCAATCATATTCAAAGAGGTCTTGAAAAACACACACAGAGAAACAGAATTTCCACCCTTCAGCACACACAGTACAAAACAGGTGACAGATTTTGAGGGACTCAGAAGCCCTCCCCAAAACTAAGCAAACTTTGATGAGTGAAGAGTTATTTAATGAAAACCACATTTCCTTAGCCTCTGCAGTCAAGAAAACAACTACAAATGCTTACATGGCATCAATATGATAATAAAAAGCTTCACCTTAGAAATACTTTGCTATTTGCCATGATCTCAGTTTTCACTCAAACTAAAAATGGCGATCCGGACAGTTTCTCAAAGCAGGTGTAGATATGCAGCAGATAAAGGCTTTTCAATCCTTCAACCACATCAATTTTTTTAAGTTATCTGTAATAACCAAGCCATCTAGATCAGACCCAAATTTTGATGAAGAAGAAAAGGGGTCCCTGCACTAGGTCATTTTAGGTAGTCAATTTAATTTGGCACATCCTGTATTTTGCAATGTGGGCCGATGGGGGCAGGGGGATACAACAACAACTCAGTAATTCTGTAGTCATGCAATAAATGAAATGGTTTGTTCTAAGCCATTTCACATTAGATGTTGTCAGAACTTCCCACAGCACCTCCCAATCCCATGTCAGTGAAAGTTAAATTACCTGCAGTGAAAGTATGAGACAGCTCACCGAATCTGCCACAGCGTAAGACTACGCACTGGTACCTATCAAGTACCAGTCTAACTTCTAGTGCTATAAAGCCATTGCCTTGCACTTTCTACTGTAGGGTGAGTTTTACAGGATGCTATAAAATGCATCAGTGGTAGTACCATACTCACAAAGGATCATTAAATTCAAACTTCACTGGGAAAGGTGGCCTCTTTGGTGACTGCCAAAACAAACCTGGTAAGAAGACAGACTTAAGATGAAATCCTAAGGAATAAGGAACAGCAACGCATGACGTACGCCATGAATTCACAATGGGCACAAAGGGGCATTTGTACTTACTTCCATCTTTTAATCGTGTATCAAGGGGAAATGAATGAAGGAGCTGAAGAGCCTAGAGGAAAAGCCAGAGCAGCTTTGGTAATTTGTCATATACACATTGACACGACCACACTAAATCAAGCCTTCTTTTAGTAATAGTGCGAAATCTTGATACAGCTTTTAAGACACTCCAATACGTAGCTGAAGTAATTTAAGGAGTTAAGAAAATCTAAGACGCCTGTGTCAAGATGTAGAGCTTAAAGACACAAGTACTACTAGACGGAGTGACTTGCCCATTCATTCACAGGACAAAGATGACAATGTTGCCTCACCTGTTCAAAGTCCAAGTAAGACACTCCAACAAGCGAAGCGTTCCCCCCACCCTGCTGTCACTTTAGGATTCTTGCATACGGATTCACAATTGGGAATGCAATGTTTTCTCAATACGACAACTACCACCAGAGCTTCCATACACACAGATATTATATGTTTATTAATACACAACATCATGATCACATCTTTCCTACAAAATTATACACACACATACTTTAAGCAACACTATGAACCAGATTCTCAGAATGACTGGCTTTTATTTCAGCCAACCTTTCTGTGACACCTTTGAGAAAATCAGGAATATGAAGATGTGTTCAGTAACAAAAGTTTAGTGGGCGAAACAAAAAGCCACTGTCCTTTATTAAAAGACATCCGATAATCCTGCTGCTCTGGAAAAACACAATACCTAGTCAGCTGGAAAAATGCCAAGGAAACTGCATGGGGACTACTGAACAGAGCCACTAGGAGTGTGTTAATAAGCTAGACTTAAAAGCCGTACAGTAGAAAGAAGAAGGGATGCAGCATTTTTAAGTTTCAAGTACAGTTTGTTATTTATAAAGAGACAGAAGTGAGTGCAAAGACTTGGACACCTAGTTATTAGGGCTACCAAATTTTCCAAAATCCTCATCAGTCTAGTGCCACCTCATTTCCAGGTCTTACTTACCTTATGGCTGAAATACTTCTCAAATTTTACTCTTGCTAGTTCCACACATTGAGTCCAGCTTCGCGGTCTTCTACTGAGTGTTTTAATAACATGAAAACAGCCTTCTAAGCTCTCCCCTGATTTTATTCTCTAGACCGAGAAGGAAATATGAAAATGTTAAAACAGACAAGATTTCTCCCAATCCAGTCAAACAGTAAATATGTTTTTAGTAAGTTATAGGCAAAAGGAAACAGAGGGTCACTTTGTGAAATATTATCCTTTATGTGATCCTCTCCACTGGGTTTTTCCCCAGGTGCTGTGGTCTACTTGATTTATTTCCACCCAGCCCTATGGACCATAGGCCATTATAGACTCACAAGAAAAGGTATTAAGCAATTTAATTTATTACATAATTGAATTCACTTGAAACTAAGTCTTCCCTTTATTTTTCCCAGCTGGTTGCACATCACTGTGACATCTACTATACACTCGCTAGCAGTGGCTCAGTATTTCTGATATTTCTACATCATGTACAGAGTACACATGAGCTAAAGAAGCAGACTTCGGCTCTTAGTTATAAGACACACCAGAAATACTGTTCCCATAAAAGATCAACTAATGACTTGGCCAAATAAGTCTTCAGGTTTTCTGAATAAAGTCAGAAAATAACCCAAATCTCACTGAACTTAAATAGAAACAAAATCCATAAAGCATTAGTTTAAACCCTGTATTTTACCCTGGCAACATTCCCCTACCTGTAAAACTTCTTCTGCTGATGGATAGGTTTGCCAGAATTTGTTAAACAATGAAGGCTTGTGAGAAAATGAACTTTCAAACTAGAAAATAAAAAGAACAAATATGGCATTTTGCAAGAAGTAGATCAGATCCCCTACCTTTCCAAATATACATTAAGTTATGCTGAACGCCAGTAAGCTTATTCCCCTACCTTATCTCTTGCCCACTGTATCGTATGCTCAATTGCAGCTGGGAAGGATTTCAAGGTGCAAAAAGGTATTTCTTCTTCTGGTGGATCCCGCTGTAATTAAGGAGAGTTGCGTATAGATGCAGGCTTATTAAAGTTTATTGCTAATAATAGCACCAAGAATTTCTAGACTATATAAGTTTAAAACTCCACTGTTACAAAATATAAGGTGGCTTATTTATGCTTAGAACAAGATTTGTTTTATGAACACTAACATATCACTTCCTGCTTGTGAAGAATAGTCTAAACTTGTATCACTGGAAAGCAAAGCTGAACTCTGAAACACAAACAGAAGAAACTGCCAGCCAGCTTTTCCAAGATGTGCAGTTCGCATTCACATACACTCTCAACATGAAATACGTGCTTTCACTCAAGGCCAGAAAGACTTCTTTCTTTGTGGACCCTAGCAAAACCGTTAGGATGCTCAAAGTCCTGTCTCTGTATCCACGTGTCACCATTTCAAGGTGTTCTCAACCAGCAAATTTCTACCTTGTAAAGGCAGTTTCACAAGAACTTAAACGCAGGAGTCTGAAGGTTCATTTCCCCCTTCCCCATTCAAACAAAACTGTTATGTATGCTTGTGGAAACTGGCAGACTAATTCTAAAACACAAAAAAACAAAAGCCACTAGAGGCTTGTGTTTCTCCTACCTGCCTGTGGAGGTGATATTCACCAAGAACAGAATGAGCAGGCAGAAGGCAGTCCTAAGAAAGAAACCCACAAGTACAAAACCAGTCTGCAATGCGATTGTGGGACTAGATTCTTATTTAGAAAGGAGTTTTCAAGGGGACAAAAAAAAAGGTCAGTCCCTTGGAAATGCTTCAAAATTAGGACTTTTTCCAAAGCTTGTGTTTCATGATTCATATAGTAGTTACTTTTAATTATTAGCCTAGGTGTAATCATCAGCTAGGTAGCAGACATGATATCTGTAGTCTGCTCAAATTTTATTTCCTGTGAGCTTTTCTTCAGAAACCGAGTAATAATTATTTCCGAATAGTACTGATCTTCAGCAACCCAAATAGGCCACTTATTTTAGACAGATACATAAACGATTAAAGAATCGGAGGGCATTATGGGACTAGCTACAGAAAGTAAGCGATGGTCTTAAAAACACTTACGTGACTATTATAGGATTCTGTCAGATGGGGCACAATAACTTCCGTGTGTCCTTTCGTTCCCATAGTTCCAGAGTCTATAAGAGGACGCAGGTTTGCTACACAACGACTGACATGGAAAGACACAGACTATCAGAACACAGCGTAATCACTACACTCTTGCCTTGCAGACATCACTGGAGTGTAACCAGAATTAACTCTAGGCACTTTCCGAAGAGTGGAAAGTTACACCAAACTCCTGAAAACAAGAGATTAAATAGGAAGAGCTATTTCAAGTTAGATCAGGATACCATAAACCTGACCCTGTCTGGATTAGGAGCATTAGTAATTTTGTTTAAATATAAACACCCCCCTTATAAATTTAAATACATATGCTTATGCATAAATAATTCAACCTTAAGACTGCCACAGTATTCTCCCTCTCATCAGACCTTGACAGCTATTCACTTCCAAGAACTCACTCCAAGGCTCTCTGCCACGTGAACAGTACCAGCTGCACGACATCAGAGTTGTTTTCCACCATGAGTATAAACCCCATCCTCCCCCCAGCCAGCATCCCTATAAAGGAGCAAGATAAATCTGAGCAATTAGCTATCAGATCTTACAAGCAGTTGCAGATCAGGAAGATTAAGAATAAAAAAGCAGAATTCACATAAGAATGTGAAAAGCAGCCCTCGCTTCCTTTCCACAACCTACCTATCAATGTATCTCCTTGCCTCCACATTGTCCAAAGCAGTCACAATCACATCTTGCTTGGTATAGAACTCATCGCTATAAGTGTTCTCAGTGGCTGGACAAACTTTATTAATATATGAGTCAATCTTTAAGTAAGGATTGATGTTCAGAGTTGCTTCTGCTGCAGTATAGCTTTTAGGTTTCTGAAAGTATAAATACATATATATATATATCAACAATATTCAGATAAAGAACTTCTGAGACACAGAAGTCTCGACTTCATTTGCTGATCAGACAATAATTCACTGACAGAAATATTAGTATGCAAAACATACAATAAAGGAAATTCTTTAATCATATACCCCCCCCACCAATAAATATCTTATTAATCTAGTTTTATTTTTAGTTTTATTTAAAGTAGTGCGTCAGAGACCACAAGGTGAAAGTACTTAAACGGTGCAGCAGAACTGTATCGAGTAACTGAAACTGATGCCATATGCTGCCTCTCATGCTCTCAAAATGCCATAAGAAAGGACCAGTTCATGACTGTCAGAGGATAAACCCATCAGTTATTGTGACTATGTCTATGCAGTATAGATATCAAACACCTGTGAACAATCACATTACTGCAAGGCATTCCACACAAAGCCAATTTCAGAAGCTAAACTGAAATAGAGTCCTTAACCTACCTGACACTTCTAACCATGCTACATTCAATTATCTAGGGATCAGCGCTTAGAACAGCAGAACCCAAGACAATGTGGCTTCTGAAAGCTTGCAGAGTTCACCTTCCATTTATCTATCCATCCAAAATGTAATCTGTTCCCAGATTTGCTAGACATAAACAGGAGGCAGAAAATTCAGCTGCTGGATTTTGGGCAGGGGAATCCCTTTTCCCCATTGCTGTGAAGATCCAAGCCACCTTTTTTATTTTGTGCTGTGTTTGCAAGTACAGAGATATTCTCTCTTCTTCAAAGGAATTAACAGTTTCTGTATCACGCATTTACTGAATGTACATGTTTTTTGGCCAAGCTATTTACCAGCTTAATGAAGACTGAATTAAGTCAGAAGACAGCAACTTTCGTCAAGTTCCATTAGCAGTAGTTCTTCTATTGAGAACACTTCCACCAGTGCTGTCTATCTATTTTTTGTTGTGTTTTTTTTTATTCTCCCCGAATTTCAATGGTATAGTAAAGCATTTCTGGCATATTAACCCACGGCAGCTTCTTATGCAACACAGCATTCCTCATCCTATTCTCAAGTTTGAGACATTTTATTAGTCAAAGACCAGTACAAATTAAGATCAGACCAGCCAATTCTACTCAACTGATACTAGTGATAGTGGGATGCCAACATAGTTCTAGGTATTGTTTTAAAAGATACTGGATTTCATTACAGCCTTTTAAGTCTTTTCTGGACAGAAGTACATACACTCAAAAGTTCAGCTCTCGGTGGGGACACAAGACAGGGGAACAGAACAATAGTCCAGAAAGTTTACTGAACAAGAAAGCCTACCTGTATGTGATGCGGTCGAAAAAGAAACTGCCTGTTCAGGTTGGATTTCTCTATCAAGTCTGGATCTGTAATTGTAACCTAAGTCAGAAGGGGCAAAAGCAACAGCTGAAGTTACAATTTAAGTGTAGCGCTGAGCAATAATCTTGATGAAATCTCTACAGAAACTTGTCAAAACAAAGCACTCCTGTTGGCATCCACTGTGGCTAACAGCTCTGCCTCTACTGACTGATTAAAACTTGTTTTAAAATCAAAATACAGTAAGACTGCTCCAAGTGTGTTCTGCTTCTAATCGCATACTACTTCCACTCTGAGGCCATTTTACCCTCTGCGCAGAGATCAACCTGAAATAAGGCTTAGATTTTTAACATTTTTAAGTAGTCTAATTATTTAATTATTCCTTGTCACATACTTTTTAATAAGCAAAGTGAGGTTAACAGGTGACTTACCAATCCTTTGTCTTGCCCAGTACCGACACCAAGAAGTGCAAAGTTTTTTAGCATTTCACAGCCTATCGCTCCACAGCCAACCTAAAGAAAATTACATTTTTAGAGTCAGAAACGCAAGAGAAAAGCAAGTATAATAGACAAGTCCCATTACAATTTTGGACCATTTTTTCTGCAGTGGCACACATCATCAGGGCAGCTCTCACTATTTTGAAGATGTTAGCTGTATCGACAAAGCATTTGCAAAAAGTGTAACAGTGTCAGTCATACTCACCAGGAAAACATTCAAATCATGCAGCTTCTGGCACAGAGAGTCTCCAATACAAGCCCTCAAGGCATCATACCTATCTCCCCTATGAAGGCATAGGAGACAAGTAAGTTGCCATTTATCACAGTAGTATCATTGATGCCAAACTGCATTTTGACATGAACTAAGAAAATCAGACCAAGTCCTCTATAATTCCTATTCCTCCCACGCTCAAATAGGACACACGTTCTCCACCTCAAACCTGTCCCTCCCGTAAACAACAGTACATAGAACAGCAGATTGTAGTTATATTTACCGTGGGAGAAATTCTTCAGAGCCCATCTTTTCTAGAGGTGTTACAATGTCTAGCATATCTATATATAGCTGTAAAAAAAAAGAAAAAAAAACAATCAAAACCTGTGAAAAACATTCATGTTATTTTCATTTAAGAAACAAAGTAAGTATTTTCTATGCACAACAGTCTAGAAATTCAGAAGCACTAAGTTTTTACTGTCAGTGGAAGACTATACAGCATTCAGTTCCCTACGGTTCACTTTACAATTTTAGTGGACAGGAAAAAGCACCTGGACACAGAGGGAAAAAAAAGCTCACTGAAACGTGAGCCGCAAGCTTTTGACTTCTGACAGGCATGTTACCCCTCCAAATTCTGACACTTATCCTGAGAGTCTGAAAGCACTGCTCTTATGTACAGTTGCTTAAGCTGGCATCTGGACTATATCACACCTTTGCAGCCATGCATTGACAGGGCAATGCTCTCCTTGCTTGTGGGGAAAAAAGAATGTGATGTCTGAACCCCAAATATGAAAATTTTAACTAAAACTGGATGCACTTTTATTGTGCACATTTTCCTAAATTCAGTCTCAAGGCTTTTTTTTTTTTCCCCTGTTATAGAAGTTGCTCAGGCTGTTCTGATCACATAGCATTCTCACACAACCATACATTCATAACACCACTGTCAAAATAAAAATCCAAAACCAAAGACAGCCTTACCCACTGTTGCAATGGAGAAAATTTTCCTGTTACTGCTTTCAAGACTTCCTGGCTAGCAACACCACCCACTGCTGCAGCCAGAGGAGCTAGAAATCCCTGAGCAGTCCTAGACAGCCATTTCACTACATCTCCATTCACCTGAGGCTGAAAAATAAGACATAATAACAACAGATTTATCCCTTCAATCGAGCAAGTCAGTGCTTGACAGTTTCATAGATTATTGTTTTTCAGTAAAAGACAGACAAATTATTTCACTCTGACTAGCAAAAAGGTTTCCAGCCAAGACAGATCCACTGTATACCCTGTACTTGTAATACGCATTTATCTAAAAACTGGATTCACATAGCCACAGGATTCAGCCTTCATGTCAGGTGAATGTTCGGTTGAACCCATGCTGACACACCATTCTGCTTCCTTGCATGGCCTTCAGAAAGCCAGCTGATCCATCTAAAGATGGATGCAAAGACCAGAACAAGGACCAACAGCTAAAGCATGATCTTTAGACAAGTAAATGAGCGCATCAGAAACGACTCATAATGATAATGATTCCTTACTCACTTTGTTTTCCAGTGTTTCACTTATAGACATGGCTATTTTCAGCATTTCCTCAGCATCTTGAAGGCATCTAGACACCAGGGTAGAAACAATAATGATCACTTAAACATTCCAGAGTCCTTCTAGGAACACAATCAATGGTGAAAAAGCACTAGATACAGTAGGAAGAGTTTGGAAATCTAGATTGGCTTTAACAGTAAGCATTAAAGATGCACTTCTAAATGTTACAGTTAGCTCAAGAACAGGAGTCTCAACGGAGAAGCCCATGTGCAAGTCCAGTCTTAAGATTTATACTTTGTAAGTAGTTTTGTCTTGTTTAACTCAAAATTATGCACATCAAGAACCACAGCTGAAAAAAATACTGACAATGAAAAACAAATCCTTCAGACTTTTTTTTAAAAAAAAAAAAATCCATAAGCCACAGGATAATTCAGGAATCACTGAAACAACTTTTCCATATTAACCCCACAATGTGAAAAAACTGGAACAGAGAAGGACTTCCTCCAGAAGCATTTTCTGTCTACCTAGGCCCAGAAAGTGCCACTGCTATATTGGGAAAGCCCTGTTACAAACCCAGACATGCATTAGGTAACATTTTTCACCTAGATTTCAACTTTTCATTTCTATGTCATCTATTAAGTACCAGACAGACAAGGTACCCTGCTGCACATCAAACCAGTAACTACAATAGAAGGAAAAATCTGTCTGATTCAAGGCTTAGCAAACACAAGACTGCTGCATTACCCAATGTTCGGTCCACGACCAAAGTTCTCCTGGAAGTGGTTCAAGGCAAGCATGGCAACATGAATCTGCAAAGGTGCCTGTTAAGACAACAACAGCTGTTGATCAGTTACAAACTTGAGAAAACTGAAGGAAACAAAAGCACCTATGTGAACGCTTCTATTACCATTTCACTTCCTTGTCTCTTAACCATACTGCTCCAAAAAAGTTTTTAAATAGCATTAAAAAGTGAATTTGAAATACCTTATTACTAATTGGGATTATAAAGTATTACTCAGTAGTAATGAAATACCCTTCACACACATTCAGCACCCACTTCAACTAAGTCCAACTAAAGAGTCCCCAAAACAACTTAGTGCTGAAATTGGAAAACACAGTAATCTTCATTTAACTAGACATTAGAATGCATTGCATTTTGCCAAATATCAATAGCAAAGCCCAGCATTAAGGGTCAAAAGTAGAAAATCTGAACAGGCAAGTTAGACCTTACATTATCAAACAAACAAAAAAATCATTAGACCAACTTTTTTAGTTTAAGATTTTAATAAGCCCGAGACTTACATGCCTTGCATGTCCATAATACTTAACTAAAACTGTGTTAGAGACAAATACTGCTAGCTTCCTCTCAGATTTTAAAAATACCTCTGAATCATTTTTTCAAAGAGAAAAAAAATTTATTCTTACACTTTTAACTCCAGTTTCCAACCAACCTATGATCACCTTTTTCTGATTATCCCAGCTTTGATACCAGTGGGATTTTTATCAACCAAACATAGAATCATAGAATCATTAAG